CAATATTTCGCTGAGTATGATTTTGTTATTGATATAGGTTCATTCAACCAGTTTGTTAGCTATATGAGTGCAATATTTGATGCAGAAGATGCAATAACTTCTGAATCGCTTTTATCAAATGATCAGCTATCACTCTTAATTCCATCAAGCATAGGCTCGAATGAACCCTTGCTTACTTCAGAAGTTATCCATCAGATTATAAAGCTTGTGAATAAAGTATGCCGTTTCAATCGGTTAGAGGATGCTGATGTCGATGACTTGGGACGTTTGTTGAAAATTTTAGAAAGATCTGTTCGAGAAGTCGAAACACTAGATTTATTCCCACGTGATTATATGGCGTCTTCTAAATCAAATAGTAGATCCCAAAATAAAGTATCTGATTCAATGAGCGTAGACGATGACTCCATGGATGAGGATGATAAATGTATTGACTCTCATTTGCGAAAAGTTGAAGAAAAGATTAATAAAATAATTAACGGGATTGAAGCTGCTACTGCTGCATTCATTATTATGACTGGTGGTAATTTGAGTAAGCAGGTATGTTATTTTGATCTTCTATTACTTTTTTATTTTAATGCCATTGGTAATTATGCTCATGTTTATGTACTTTCTAAAGCTCTATCCGGAAGATCTAATCACGTCGAGTCTTAACCTTGTAAAAAATCAACTTGTGGGTGTGATCTATCGTATATTTGAAATGAACATATCGGAAGATGCATTAAACAGTACGTGTCAATCATGTCAAATTAACATAGCTCACCTTTGATTAATTATATTATTCCATTCAATAGGTGATGCAGATTCTGCATTAATTGAAATGCTTGAATAATATCCTTTTAAGTGACTAATTATTCAAGAGTTTTTTTCTCGAATTAATGGAATTTCTTAACTTGTAAATTTTATCATCTAACTCCTCAATTAAAGCGTCAAACAGCTGGCATGCTTCAAATTATCACAAATTATTTACGGAAATTATATGATTTGATGCAGAAAGAAGAACTTTCTGACTCTATTGTCATTACAGTTAGTTATATTGCTATTGGACCCTTTTTTGTGGATTCTGTAAACAACAGCGGTAATTCTATATTTGGTAATGGTTTGGAAGCAGTAAAATTGGTTGCGCTTGGACTATTGAGATCTGTAAGTTGTGCATCATAATAGTTCTATCAATTATTCCACTCACAACATCATGTTAAATAATCACTCAATAATAGATATTCACAAATCATCAAAAACAACGCACATGGATATTGGAAGAAATTCTTACGTCTCTTATTAAATTACCTACCGTAAAAAGGAACCTGAGACAATACAGGTAGAATTAATGATGATTATAAGGATTTCTTAAAGAATAATTCGATTTAATTAATTGTCTCTCATAAACTGTCCGGGTCTTATTTAAAAAAACTTTATTATAAAAGCTTTTGGGTGGACATTAAGAAAACATCTATTTATATGTTATGAGAGATAATAATTAGTTTATATACCATATTTACTAAGATATGGATTGCTTATATTCTTCCTTATAGATTGCCTGATGGTAAATCAATCCAAATGGTATCTGCGCTTATTTTACAGCTTATTCAAAGTTGTGCAGTAGGCATAACTCACTTTGGCCTAAAGTCAGTGGATGATCAACAAAGTGAACAGCTTGTTGAAAATTTAACTAATGGAGTTCCAAATGATTTAAAAAAGGTATCCTGTGTTAAATTTTGAATGATACCTAATATGTATTATAGTTTCACATGAATTAATAATTCATTAACACAGTGCAGTAGCGCGTGGAAAATCGGAATAGATTCTGCTAGCAGCAATGCTGGCTATATTTTTAAATTCCTGCTTGCAAGGTACCTAGCTTAACATTTGGTCAATATGCAAAGTAACATATGAATTCATTCCAAATAATTAATAATTCAAACATCAGGTGTACGAAGTCTATTAAAAATTCAAACGAGTCAGAATATCGCGTTCTTTTAGATAATTTCATGGAAGATGTGATTACAGTATTGAATTACCCTGAGTGGCCGGCAGCTGAAATGATAGTTCGCATATTCAGCAAATTCATGGTATTTATCTTATTGAGTTGTCGGCTAATAAATTAAATGTTATAATCAAGTTACATATTCTTTTATTCTATTTTACAAATTCCAGATTGGCTATATAAATGATAAAAAAGCAGACAATTATACAAAATCAATGGCTATTGATTATTTGGGGATAATAGCTGGACGTATCAAAAAGTTTGCAAACACAGGTCTCATTTCTGGAGAAGGAGTGTCAGAAGATAACGGAGAGGATAATGATGATAATGATAATCAGAATTGGATCGACAAAATTAAAGATATACCGAGAGGAGATGTAATTATCATCAGTTCAATTTGATTATATTTAAAGTGTCCACACTAAAGTTCTAATAGAAATATTTGATCGATAGATAACGATCTTAAACCCCGAGCGAACAATTAAAAATTTGCGTAAATGTCAAAAGGCTGTATTGACATTTCTAGAATTTGGTGCGATGGAAGATCCGGGTGTGCAGGCATGTATTTGAAAATCCAGATATCAATATTTAATATAAATTTTATTGCTTGTCTTTACATTAAACGATTTTCTTTAGTGTGCTCGCCAATTTTACTTAGCTGAGTGGGGGTATTCTTTTGCAAACACATTGCTTTCAATCAATGAAAAGCAGACAGATTTAAGATGGGGAGATAAAGACGATGCATCACTTGCTTCAATAACAAAATTAATGAACAAGATTGTTGCTGAATACTGGCAAATGTCATCTGAAAATCAAATTGTACAAAGTCTTGAGCATAGGTTAATTTTTATTGTGCAGAAATGTATATAAATTGCATAGACATAAATATTTACAATTCGATCTATTTATTTTCTCATAATAGAACTCAGCATGTGGAACGAACTGATATTCATCTCGTAACCGAGCTTCTCGCAACTAGGCAAGCTCTTTATCAAAACTTTGATACGATCCTTTCAAGGATATTGGTATCATTAGATACAGGCGTTGTTGCCTTTAGGACAAAAGCGTTGAGAGCCCTAGGACAGGTGGTTGTATGTGACCCTGGCATTCTAAGCCAAGTAAGTACGATTCGTCATTGAATCTCATTGATTTATACTGGCAGCTTTTAAAATTTAATAAAAATTTAGGTGAACGTTCGTCAAACAATTGCCCAGAGATTTTCTGACAATTCGCCAGCTGTTCGAGATGCAGCCATTGAGCTTGTTGGACGTTATCTCGCACAAAAACCGGAGATTACGGAGCAATATTACAAAGTCATAAGCGATCGCGTCTTGGTTAGTCAAAAATACGATTTGATCTTATATGATTCGCTCCAATAATACTTGATATATTTTAGGATACTGGTCTTAATGTACGAAAACGTGTAATAAAATTACTTAGAGATATTTACCTTAAAAGCTCTGATCAGGAGATGAAGATCGATATCGGCTGTAAAATTCTTATTCGCGTTAATGATGACGATGATCATGTCAAGGTAACTATATTACTAGTGATAATATTGATATCAATCGTATTTCACATATTTATTGTTTGCAAAAATTTTTTAAGGATCTAGCTCTTAAAACTATTCAAGAATTGTGGTTTGCTCCATTCAAACATCAGAAAAATTTTTATGCTGAGACATATGATTTGGATGATGATGACAAGGGGCAAAATGAATTCAACAACATGCCTGCTAGTGGTAAAAAGGATGTTTTAGCAAGAAGCTTATTAATTGTAGGGGTTGCAGGACGACTTGGCGAGAGGAATGGGCATATCATGGGTGGATTGTTCAAAAAGGTTTATAATGAATATTTGTATTTCCGATATTACTTTGAACATATCGTAAATCAATTTGATTAATATGAAATAATATATAGATTTTAGACAAAGATGGAAAACAGAAACGCGAAATTATGAGCATCTGCCAATGTATAGTGGATTGTCTTTTTGAGCATTTATTAACATTGCAAGATTCAAATTCAAAGGTATTCAATAATTCTATTCTTTAATAATAACAAATAATAATAGTAAATATAAATTAACTTTACACAACCATAATTATTTACATATATATTAGACAGAAGTTGTCAGTTGTATCAGCACTATATGTTTGTTGTGTAATGCTTCACCATTACTCGTCAGAAAGCATGTTGTTACATTGCAGCCATACCTAAAAAGTTCTAGCACGGTAAGAACGAAAACGTTGGCGTAGATAAAAAAAATTCAATTGATTTTGTTAACTTGAAAATTTTTATAATTCAGTCGGAAGATCAATCGATATTGTATTACGTTCTGATCATATATCGTAATGTTCTCCCGCTTCTCAAACGGCCAAATCCTAATTTCTTAAATGAAGTAGAGCAGACACTTATGGGTCTATTGACTAAAAGCCCTCAAAAAGTAATGCAATATTTATTCAATTTCTTTTTAGAAAACGATATTCATTTATTTGGTATATTTAATTTATAGATTCTTCAAGAGGTTTTGCCATGCCTATGTGTCATTGTTGACAGATTAACGCATAACTATGCAAGGTTGACAAAACTTTTACGGTCTTGTACTGGTTGGTAAAAAAAAAATTAAATAAGAAATTCTGGTTTAATTTGTTTATAATTTTATATTCTAATCAATCCTACCTTACAGAAAAACTTAAATTAGAACAAAAACAATTGGAAGCAGGAAAAGAACTATCTTCTGCGCGTAATGTTATGGTGCTTCTATTGATTGTCGGATTGTTATGTAAAAATTTTGATTTTGACAAGAAGCGATTAGAAAAGCCAGGTATGCACATATTTTATTCATTGATTTTGTGTGCACGTAATCGTATACGTTAACTTGTATGTAAACTATTTATTATTGTCATAGATGAAATGAGGGAACTAAATAACATCGATAAGGTTAGAATTTTAAAGTCTGCAACTTGTCTCATTACTAATTTAACGAATGACAAACTGAATTTGCCATAGGGACCTATTGTTGCTATAACCTTCCAATTAGTACTGTATTTTTGCAAAAAAGGTTTATCAGAAACTGTTCAAAAAATGGCATTACAAAGTTTAGGTAATGCATTAGTAGACTTTTTATATTCGCTTTTCCTGTGTTTTAGATTATAATATGATTGCATATTTTATAGGCTTTATATATCTTTCATATCCAATAATAATGCTAAAGCCAGAAAGCACTGATTTGATGGATCGTATATTAAATACCGGTGTAATGGATATGAAAATTCAGTTGATGAAAGTATTCTTAGATTTCTTAGTTTCAGAACAGCAAAAAATTAACACGGATTTAGAAGACAAAAGTACGTATTCTGAAGCCACTTTGGTTCTTAACTATTTATTAACTATATATCTATATTTCTTGCAGAAAAGAAAAAAAACGACACTGTAGATCTTAAAGTCCTAATAGGTAATGCTGATGAATTCGCTGAAGCTGGGTAAGATATTATTTGGCAAGTTCTACTTTTGGAAGTGAGGGTTCACAAGTAGCACACCGGAATAATGTTATCAAATTTTTAATAGCGTTAGTAGCTCCTTAATGCAAAGATACCTGGATAGGATATTAGAATGTACCTTTGATCATACACAAAGTTTAAAAATTGTCGCACTAGATGTCTTAGGCAATATTATACAACAAGGCTTGGCACATCCTGTGCTGGTATGTGATTATTTTTATTAAGAAATATTACTATTTAGCGTATCACGATTCGAAATAAGACTATGGTTCTTCTATAGTGTATACCAACTATTGTTGCGATGGAAACAAGTCCGGAACAGAACATTCGTGATAAGTCGTTTAAATTACATCAACATTTAAACGAAAAGCATGCTTCTTTAATACATTCCAGAAATGTAGATTGTGTTAAAAAAGCATATGCTTTTCAAAAGCAATTGGTCGGTGGAAATCCCATAGTTGGTATGTTTCAAAGTTTTGGTTTTGCTTTAATATAGTCATCGCTATAGACATGATTCCATGAATTCAACTTTCCATCAAAGGGTATGCAGTACGTTCTCACGAAGGAAGGCCTGAGGCTTTGCTTAATCCGATGTACTCTCTTCTGAAAGATAAGCGGAAGTCTCGTAATGATTTTCTTGTCTCTATTGTCAAGACTTTTGACTTTGACTTAAAAAAATGTGATGAGTCGAAGGTATGTTATTGTATTTAAATTTTCATGACAAAAAATAGATAAATTAATATTAATTTTGATTTAGGTGGACGTTGGCTTTTGCAAATTTGTTGCAGAAAACCTAGCTACTATTGATTACAAATCAATTGAGGAAGTTCTTCACGTGATTTACTTGATCAATCGTGTTTTGTCAGTTGTTGCAATTAGCGTATTACATTCTGTTCAAAACAACATTCAAGAGACTATTGTAGATAATGTTCGTGTATATATTGAAACTAAAATAC